ACCAATATGGGAGCAGGGAGGTGGTGGCACAGCAGGGACAATAGCATGGCAGCAGTACAAAAGGTGCTTGCAGGGTCCCACTTCCCCATCTGGGCCTGCATCCTGAGGGGTTAAGCAGGGTAAAAAAAATTTCCAGGGTAACTCCTCCTTGCTGGGGTTTTCCCTGGGGAAAGAATGGGGCTGGGTTGGAAGCATTTTCTGCCTGAGTGCAGTAAATGAATATTTGGGGAAAGTCCATAGGTTTTGGGTTACAAGAGCTAAGCTGGAGTGTAAGAGATGCCAAGGTTTCTCCATTGTTCTTCAATATGATTGTAATCAAATCTCTGCTTCCACAAACAAAACCCCCCTTTTCCTCTCTTCCTCCTTTTCTTTGGAGTATCAGTTTTGCTCTTCTTCAGCAAATGACTCTTTTACAGGAGGTTTTTTTCCTCTGGTTGCTCATGGATAGAGTATCACCCTTTTGCCACAGCAGCCCCGGTAAAAGAAAATAATTTTTAAGGAAAATTTTGAAAAATGTAATTTTTATACATCAAACCCAACTGGTAGGAAAAGATATTTAATTTTTTTTTTTTTTCAGTATGCTGGCAGGAGTTGGGAGGGTTTTTTGAATGATGGGATAGCTCACTCTCCTGAGGCTTAGGGAAGTGTTTGACTTCAAACTCAGAATCACAGAATCTCCTGGGCTGGAAGGCACCCACCAGGATCATCAAGTCCAATCCCTGGCCCTGCACAGGACACCCCAATAATCCCTCCTTGTGCTTGATCCCACTGCTTGCCTGTGAAAGTGAAGGCTTGCTTGATCATTCTATCATTTTAAAAGCCCATTCTACCATTTGCAAAGAGGATCAGCTGAAAACATTTCAAAAGCCTCTGTTTTTATTTAGCTCTAATTATTCCTTCCCGCAGACGTGTCCAGGCTGCGGTACCGAAATAGGGCGTGTGTGAAACGCTTGACTGGAAAAAAATGAATCATATTCCTGGTGCTGTGAGCTTGCCCTATAAATAAAAAGGCAGCTGGGGGAGTCCTGACCCTGCCCTGGCTGTTGGGTCAGGGTTTCCCTGGGGCTGCCAGCTGGATGCTGGTGCTGAGTGAGCGCGGCGCTGCTCAGCCTCGCCGCCAGCCGCGATTTCGGGAGCCAGTCCCTCTCCAGAGCCGGATGCTGCTGCAGCTCCTGGACAGCTTCCAGACCCGTGTCTGTGCCAGCTGCAGCAGGCAGGGGTGAATTGAGGGCACCATAAGGACACAGGTTTGGATCTGATGGGCCAGCGTGGCTTTCTATTGCTCTTCTCCTTCTGTAGCATCACGGAGCTCTGCCTTCTCTGGGTGGCTGAGCAAGGGTGCTGTGTGCACTCGGGATCTCTCAAATGTCCTGCTCAGCTCCCGTCTGTCCTTCATTTCCACCCCTCAGCTGTGGAACGTGGCACTTGCAGTTGGTTGTTGCCACGTTCCCATGCAGCCATGGAGGTGCTGGTTGAAGAACTGGGGATGTGGAGGCAGGAGGAGGTGCTGCCCTAAGGACCAGAGTTTATACTTGAAATCCTAGTGGGAGATGGCAAAATGTCCATGCAATTTGTTGGGACAACCCTAAACCTAAAAGGGCAACAGAGCTGGGGAGGGGTTTTGATGAGGAGCAGCTGAGGGAGCTGGGAAGGGGCTGAGCCTGGAGCAAAGGAGGCTCAGGGGGGACCTTGTGGCTCTGCACAATTCCCTGCCAGGAGGGGGACGAGCAGGGCTCAGGCTGTGCTCCCAGGGAACAGGGACAGGAGGAGAGAAAACAGCCCCAAGTTGTGCCAGGGAGGCTTAGATTGGATATTAGGAAACTTTTTTCGTGGAAAGGGTCGTAGAACATTGGAATGGGCTGCTCAGGGAAGTGGTGAAATCACCATCCGTGGAAGTGTTCAAAAAACATGTGGATATGGCCCTTGAGGACATGGTTTAGCAGTGAACACAGTGGTGGTGCTGAGTTGGTTGTTGGACTTGATGATTTTAAAGGTCTTTCCCAGCCTTAACACCTCCATAAGTGTATGATTATAAATGTTTCTTGTCTGGTGCATTTTCTATGAAATGTGCAGTGGTTCTGCTCCCAACAAGCGTCAGTGATGTCTGGGAGAGGCTCCACAGACCTCGTGCTTTTAATGTCAGATGAGAAGAGAAGATGCTCTGTGATAAGATCTCCTTGAGTAGTCACACGTAATTTCTGTGGGCAAGCACAGCTACTCCCTTGCAGGGCCAATTACTTCAGGAAGAGCTGAGGTCACTTTTTGGGATGTTGTGAATTGAGCAATGGTGGCTCTCAGAGCAGAGGACACTGATGGTTCCTGATTTCCAGCAAGACTGCTCTCTCTGAGGCCACATCTCAGGAAAAGCCTCGTGCCTCTGGCTGCAAGCTTTCACACAGCAGGGCAGCATCTTGTGGAAAGCTTCTTCCCTTTGGAAACTAAGCCTTGACAGACCCTTGACAGGCAGCTCAGTCAAGCCTGATCCTAAAGACAGCCAAGATCTTGGTGTCCCCCTGTTTGCCAGCCTCATGGAAGGGCTCAGTAGGAGGGGAGGCCAAAAGCAGAGTTAGGGTTTGGTTTCTTGGTCTGCTGCAGCCTCAGCCCAAGGCTTGGAGCGACGTGTTTGTTTTTTTTCTCATTTCCTGGATGAGGTAAGGCAGGGTGGGCTGAGCACTGAGCTCATCCAGACAGGGCCAACCAGCAGATTTCCAAGGAGTGGGGAGAGCGTGGCAGTGTCATCTTCAGCCATCTGTCTGGCAGGGGATGCACGGCCCTTCTTTGGAGATGCTGCTGGGACATTTGTTGCCTTGTTTGGAGCTGAATTATAAGTCAGAAGTTCCTCTCCCAAACCTCGTTTCCTTGACCCAAACTATTCCAAGACATGCTTACCAGTGCCCTAAATTGTCCCTGCTTTAGGGCCCAACGTCCAGGTGTTGATGTTGTGATGACGATTGGATTATCTATTTAAACATGTTTGATTTGCAATGACAGGGTTAAAACCCCGAGAATCAAATCAGCAGGACAGCTCTGCATCTGATTAAACCCCATCCCCTGCTCCTCTCTGCCTCCCAGCCATCTTGCTCTTCCTAGGCAAAATCTCTCTAGGATTTGCTCTCAGGCCATTAATGACCAGTTTTCCTGGTGCCTTCACTCCTTTCCACCACACTCCAGCTCTGGCTTCCCAAACCATTCCTAGCTGGTGGATGATGAGGTGGGAAGTTGGTCTTTCCCATTCCCATCTAAGCAAGCTCCCAGCCCATCCACTTGCTCAGGGTTGGGAAGAGTTTCCTGGGAAGTTTATGAAGAAAGCAGAAAAATCTGAGGGATTTGGTACCATCTGGAGCTCCCGGCAGGTGGGAGAGGTGTGACAGTTGCTGAATTGCAAAAATGCCCTCAGTGGTGCTTTCCCAAGCTCCCAAAGGTGCCAGTGTGCAAAATAACAGCTCTGAGATGCTCACACAGCGCAGATTTATGGCACAGCACCCTGTAGTTAGAACAATCTCCTTACATCAGCCGTGTAGGAATGTGCCAGGTCCTGCATCTTCCCGAGGCACGGACGTTATCATGGCTCATCGCCTGTGGGACACAGCCTGAACTCCTGGGGATGGGAGAAAATGATTCTATGGTGGTGCTGTCTCGCCTTTGAGAGCTCAAAATGTTCAAACTTTTGACAACCCCCCACAAAAAAAAGCCCACAAAAAGCAACAAAACAGAACAAACCACAGAAACCAAGTCTTGAGCTATTTATCTTTTTTTTTCTCTGAGACACAGGATGTTTAGCATTCACTCACCTTTTCGGGGGCAGGTCTAGAAATATTTTGGGTTTTTTATAGAAGCACAGACTGGTTTATGTTGGAAGGGACTTTAAGCCATCCAGTTCCACCTCCTGCCATGGGCAGGGACACTTTCCACTATCCCAGGCTGCTCCAAGTCCTGTCCAAGCTGGCCTTGGACACTTCCAGGGATCCAGGGGCAGCCACAGCTTCTCTGGGCACCACTTCCCAACCTCACAGGGAGGGATTTCTTCTGTACAACTGACCTGAATTTCCCCTCTTTCAGCCTGAACCCATTCCCCTTGTCCTGTCACTCTGATGAACAGGACAGAGTTCTATTCATCAGAGTCCTTTCCACCTTCCCATAGGCTCCCTCAGATACTGGGAAGTTCTGTGAGGTCTCCATGCAACCTTCACTTCCCTGGATATGTAGCCAGGATATATTTATATCCTTGTTCTTTCCCTTGCATGCCTCAGTTGGGAACATCATCCTCACAATGAACAAGGTCTTGTGGATATTTCATGTGGAGCATTCCTTGTGGAGGTGCTGTTGCTGGAGCTGCAGGGCACAGCCAGGCTGTTTCACCTGCAGCCCTGCAGACACTCTGGGGTCAGCAAGGTTAGGAACCACCAGAATTAGGAAGCACCAAAATTCAGGCCTCTGGCTCAGCATTGTGCTGGGGAATGCACATGGACACATCAGGGGATGTTTCTTCTGCCTCCCATCCCATGGGTGCCCAGCTTGGGCTGCTCCTGCCCCAGCTGCAGTTCTCATGTTACACAGCCAGCAAATTAGCACCTGAAGTCACTGTTGTTTTGCAAGTCTGATTAAAGTAATAGTTGAGGCTGTCTGTGTTTGAAACTGTTGAGAAGGCAGGGAGGGTGTCTCTGCCCAGGCTCTGTGTCCTGCCTGCCCGCAGGGGGATCACTCACCTGGCAGTGCAGCAAAGACAGTCACCTTATCCCTTCTCCCTGCTGGCACAAAGGCATCACCACCAGAAACACCCTGAGCAGAGGCAGAGAGCCTCCAAAAAATGAGTCTGTGCTGCTGAGACAGAAATCCAACTCACACCAAAGCACCAGAGTTCATCGTGTGAACCACCACACCATGCTACCTCATTAATGGATTTGCATTTCTCTCCCATCTGTTTGTCCCAGCAGAGATTTCCTTTTGCTCTGAGAGCAGCAAAGGTAACAGAAGCGCTTTGTTCTGCTCTGTTTTCTCAGGGAGCCACCAACGTGGTTTACCAAGCCCACCATGTCAGCAGGAGTAAGAGAGGACAAGTTGTCGGCACCAGGGGAGGATTCCGAGGCTGCACGGTTTGGCTCACAGGTATTTTTGTCAGGGTGTGAAAGCGTGGCCTCACCTCTGAAACTCCATGAGTGTGGCTGGCAGGTGGGGATTTGGGATCTGCAGGAAACGTCAGCGTTCCCTGCGAGCCGGGAATTGCGAAACATCCCCACGTGGGAAGCGCAGACACGCGATGCTGGCGCAGCAAGATGTTCTCCCTGGCAGCTGCTGCCCATAACTAATGTTTTTATGGATTTCCCAGCTGCTCTCAGGCTCCTTTGAACATGTCAGAGGCCCTCGGGGTAGCACTTGTTGTTCCCAAGTGTGTAGCTGAGGAAGCCTTGGCTCCAATCCAGCCAGTCTTTGGCAGTGGAACGCACCCGGCGTTGTCCAAAACGCGGATGTTTTCATTCAGGAGCGGTGGGAAGTTTACTGGGACCTGTAGGTCTGCTGTGTTTGAGGCAGCACGAGGCAGTCACCTTGTCTGGAGAATAAACACTCCCAGCCACAGAGTCACGCTGGAAGCAATCCTTTGCGTCTGTTTTATTGCCCTTCTTTTCTGCCTTGAAGTATAAACTCATTGTTTGGGGATTAGGTGCTGTCAGAAATGATAATTGCATTTCTCGTTTCTAATATTTAGACAAGTCTGTCTTTTGCCAGTTGTCCAGTTGTTCCTTTGCTTGTTAAATATTGGCATTTTCTTTGGCTGCTGGAGGATGTTGAAGGATGTGCTTGGAAGGATTTGTAAAGCCATTCTGATTTGCCTCCCTGTCACCTTAGGTTGGAGCTGCTGGATTAAAGCATGTTTCTGTTCTCCTCCTCAATTTTGAAGTGCCCAATCTGCTTTTATATAGTTTCTGAAGCCAAAAGCTCAACCCAAGGCAATTTCTTTCCTTTTTTGAGTATTACTAAAAAATCTTGTGTCTGAAAGGTTTGAGCTCACTGGCTGATGATTATTCTTTGGAATACACCCCTAGAGAAGAAGGTGATGGGGGCCCTTTGCTGCTGGAGTCTGTCCCACTCCACGTGGTTACAGCAAGAGCCTCTCCTTGGGTTCAGAATGGCAGAGCAGCTGGCTCTTGGCAGTGGGAGCAGGGGGAGGAAGAGGAAGATGAGGAGAGACCTCGAAGAAGCAGCATCCTTTCAAACCTCCCCTGCTTCCTGGCACCCAGCAAGACTCACTGCTGGGTTAGACCCCTCCAGAGGTTGGGCTGTAGATGCTTTTATCAGGGCATTAATGCTACCCCTTCAACAATAAGGGTTGAAAAGGTGAAGGTTCGTCCTTCATCTGTGAAGGACGAATCCAACTTCCTTTAGGAAGGAATGAGGGAGGGAACTTCAGACAGGAGTTTGGCCGCTGGTGTCGCTCGTTTTCACTCTCTTGACCTCAAACCTGACCCCTCACCCTTCTGCCTTCCCTAGGCCTTTCTGGAGCTGGCAAGACAACCATTGGCTTTGCTCTGGAAGAGTACCTGGTGGCTCATGGCATCCCCTGCTACTCCCTGGATGGTGACAACGTCAGGCACGGCTTGAACAAGAACCTGGGCTTCTCGGCCCAGGACCGCGAGGAGAACATCCGGCGCATCGCCGAGGTGGCGCGGCTCTTCGCCGACGCGGGGCTCGTCTGCATCACCAGCTTCATCTCCCCCTTCACCAAGGTGAGTGTGTGAGGATCCCAGGGGTCCTGCTGTCTGCTCAGCTTCATCCCAGACGATGAAGATGGTTTGTGGAGAGGGTTTCCTAAAGGCACCGTCAGTTGCCGCTGACACGCAACCGCGCGCAGTCGGTGTTTGGAGGGCAGTGGCCTCGCCGGATAAATTCAGTGCTGCACATTAATGAAAAGCTAAGAGGAGTTTAAGATCTCCCTGCTATTAACTCCTCAGAGGCAGAAAGGAGTCACAGCAGCCTGACCTAGACCTCTCACTGGTCTTTTGGAAAAAGATTTGACTGCGATTTTCACTTCCGTAGCCACTGTTATCAGGCCAATGCAAGCAGTTCCTTTTTTCGTAGAATCAAGGAATCACTGAGGTTGGAAAAGACCTCTGAGATCATCAGGTCTGACCGTTTTCACATAGGGCAGATAATTATTCACAATCTAAAGTTCTGCTGTCCTGCCTAACGAAAAGATCTTGAGGTTTTGCATGGGAAAAGATGAAAACAGGTCAAAGTTGTAGATTTTTACAATTTTTTTTAAAGTGTCTTTAAAGAAAAGGAGGGAAGTGAGATGAAAACCCCTTATTAGAATTAGTGTACATTGAATAAATCTAAAGAGAGATTAATTTACTTGTATCAAAATCCAGGGAGGCCTTTTTGCTGCAATTCAGATTTTCCCCATCTTTCTTCCAACAGGATCGTCTAAACGCACGGAAAATTCACGAGGCAGCTGGACTTCCTTTCTTTGAAATCTTTGTAGATGCTCCTCTAAACATTTGTGAAAGCAGAGATGTGAAGGGCCTGTACAAAAAGGCAAGAGCTGGAGAGATCAAAGGTATGGAGGAATGAGATCTTATTTTGCCTTTTGCTTTCCAAAGCTTTGGATGCCTTGTCCTGGCAGTGCCACAATAGGGGTGGGTGTCTAAAGGCCCTTTGTAGTGCACAAGAGGATCCTGCTCCCCTAATCTTACTGTCACAAGTGTCACTTGTTCTACCCAGCATGGTTGAATGCCCCCTGGTTGTTTGTATAGTGTTCTTGTCTCCAAGGCACTGATTATTCTATTAAATAAGTTTAATTTGGGGGTTAATTGCCCGTAGGATTCACGGGGATTGACTCAGAGTACGAGAAACCCGAAGCTCCTGAACTGGTGCTGAAAACAAACATTACATCGGTGTCTGAGTGCATCCAGCAGGTCGTGGAGCTCCTCCAGGCACAGGTGGGTCACTTTGATGTCACCATCACTGGCAGCTTTGGAACCCTGCTTTGGGACACTGCCTTTTTGGTGTGCCTGTAACAAACAGCGTGTTACAAGCGCTGCCTGTCTCTGTCTTTCAGAACATCGTGCCCCAAGGCTCAGTCAAGGATGTTCTGGAGCTCTTTGTGCCTGAGGATAAACTCAGCAGTGTCCGGGCTGAGGCAGAGAAGCTGCCAGCACTGGAGATCACTAAGGTACTGTCACACACAGCTTCTGACACTACTTAGCTGCTCCAAGGGTGGAAGCTTCCAGGAGGATGTTGCCAGAGGGGCCTGTGTTCTTCTGATGGCCCTGACCTTTTCTGGCTGTGGTTTATGGTGAGCTGAGGGGGGAGCCTGATCCTCAGCCATTTTCTGTCCCCTCTGTGCTGCAGGGTGTCAGTCCCCTCTGCTGTGTTCACACAGCCCCACAGTTCAAGCTGCCAGAGGGGGCAGGGTTTGGTGGGATATTGGGAGGCCCTGGCACAGGCACAGGGTGCCCAAAGCAACTGTGGCTGTCCCTGGATCCCTGGTAGTGCCCAAGGCCAGGCTGGACAGGGCTTGGAGCAGCCTGGGACAGTGGGAGGTGTCCCTGCCCATGGCAGGGGGTGGGTTGGATGGGCTTTAAGGTCCCTCCCAACCCAAACCATTCTGGGATTCTAAGCTGAGGAAGTGTGTGAGTCTGGCTTAAAAAGCCTCAGGCTACATCCCCCATGTCTTTCTCCTGGTTATGAATGTCCTGTATTTGAAGCAAAACAAAATGAAAATGCTGTTTCAGCAGAAGGGAAGGAAAAGCAACCTCTGAGCGTGACTTGGTGACAGGAGTGTGACAGGAGTGTGACCCCTTTGGGTTTGTTTTGCAGCTGGATCTGCAGTGGGTGCAGGTGCTGAGCGAAGGCTGGGCCACTCCCCTCACAGGATTCATGCGGGAGGCAGAGTACCTGCAAGTGCTGCACTTTGGCACCCTGCTCAACGGTATGGATCCCCGTGTCCTCCCCTCCTGCCTTGTGGCACACACCAGGGCTCCTGAAGGTGGCCAGGGTCACCCTGCTGTGGCCACAGCCCTGGCATCTCTCGTGGTGCTGCTCAATCCTTCAGGGAGTTGTTGCGAGGCTCTTGTCGAGCTTGGCTGTACCAGGGTGAAAACAGAGATGCAAACCCAAGGCCAAGGAAGCAGGGAGGCTGCCAGGCTCAGCTGGAAGTGGGAGGAGAAGGCAGCTGCTTCTTGGAAACCTAGTTTTGCCCCCCACCCCATTTTGCCCCCCACCCCATTTCCCTGCTTCTTCAGCACGTTAGCTTGAAGCAAATCTGGTTTATCCGTGCATTAGCAGCCTGCCAGAGGTGGTGCTTCATCCTTGGAAGAGGCAAAGAGGGCTCAGGTGATGCCTTCCACAGCTGAGACTGGGGCACAGATGTTTCCACCCCGTTTCTCAGCTGTGGATGCTGTTGCTGTGACTTCACCTGCTCACATTGGGGTTTGTAGACCTGGCAGTGATCTCTGCCTTCAGGGATCTGGGTGAGCAAGTCCCTTTGAGCCTTGCATGCCTTCTAGACTACCCTGTGGTCCCACAGGGCAGAGATTTGCTGCTGTTGCTCAGATTTGGGCACGGTGCAGCAGAGGCAAAGCTCAGCACTGCTCACTTTGCACTGTGGGAGTGTCTGTGTGTGTGGGGGCCCTGCTCCCAGACACGCCATAGCCTTTCACCTCCTGCCCAGTGTGCAAACAGCATTCAGAAGCACATGTCCCTGTTATCTGAGCCTCCCCTGTGGTCTTTGAGCTGCCTGTTGTGCCTGGGGAGGTCGCAGAGTGCCCTGGGGTGGCCACGTTGCTCCAGAGCCCCGTACTTTGTGCTGGAGGCTCATCCCAGAGCATACCTGGGTTTGGGGTGCCCCCCCAGACCTGCCAGCATCCCTGAGCACATCTCCTCTGAGCTCTGTGGGCAGATGCTCAGGGTTTGGAGAGCTCTGTGGGGAGCAGGGATGAAGGCCAGGAGAGAGAGCAGCTTTGCAGGGGGATGAGCTCTCCAGAGCAAGGTCTGGGTGGCAGAGGGCAGCAGCATCTGGAGATCCTGTCTCCATGGGGGTCTCCAAACTCAGCACTGGTGTGCTCACGCCCTCAGGGTGACATCTGAGTGGGAAAGAGAACAGCAGGTGCTCCTGGAGAAGCTCTGGGAAGTGGTGGAGGGCTCCACCTCACGGTGCTGAGGCCAGGGGTGGCACTGCCAAGGAGAGGCTTGAGCCTGCTCTTCCCAGAGCCTTGTGCCCTGGGCTGGCTGATGGTTTGGGCAGCTCCCGTGGCTTTTTGGGGACACTTGTTCAAGCAGCAAATCCCCCCTGGATGCCCCAGCAGGTGGGTGATGTGCTCTGTGTAGGGCCACCAGGAGGGGTGGACCTGCAGCAGCGCACCAGCAGCCCGTGACTCTGTCAGAGGGGTGACAGTGACAGTGCTGGATCACAGTGTGAGGCTGTGTTAGGACCGTGGCCGCGCCAGCAGGAGCTTTTCAGTGCTTTGAGTCTTGAAATGGTTTCTGTAACGTGCCCCTGAGCGTTAATTATCTTAATTATGTTTGTGTTCTCCCAGGAAAGAAACGCTTGGTAGCTGGTATGTATGGAACTATGGAGCTGTTCTCAGGCTCTGCACAAATTACCTCAACTGAGATTCTTTTTGGCTATAATTTTTTGAGATTTCCAAAAATAAAAAAGTTGAAATTATTAATTATTATGAAATTATTGCAGCCACGACCCATTTATGATCCAGGCAGTTATGACGTGGCCCGACACACCCCGTGTCCTAGGGACCAGTCTGCACAAAGATCCCAGTTGTGTAATTTTTTAATTACCTGCACTGGAGTGATCTTTTGTTACCTCTCCATCCTGCATTTGGAAATGGAGCCTGAAGATGCTCGCTTTCAGCAGCATTTGTTGGTTTCATAATGCAGCTTTTTTTATTTCCTGTGCTGGCTTCATTGACTGATCATTATTAATATGATTTAAATGTATGAAGTTGATATTGATTGGATCCCATGTGAATATAATTGTGATTATTCATGAAAATTGCTGCCTGGCAGATGAATGATACCCAGTCGTGAATTTAAAGTAAATGCAAATATTTTAATAAAAATTAAAGTAAAAATCTATATCATAGTTAAAATCCTCAAATTAAGACTCTCAAGGGTCCAAACTGATTTCAGTCAGATCAGAATAAATTGAATCAGTGATTTGTTTTTGACTGGAAACCTATCAGAGAGACTGATTCTCTTGTATTGAGATTGGAATATTGTTAATATCCAAATATCCAAGGAGAAATGGGAGGACCTCAGTGGAACATTGAGAAATTGGGAGAGTAGGGTTAAAACCAACATGATTTCAAGCTATTTAGGGACAACACTGAAATTAGAAACCAAGTGTGCACTTAGAGACTCGCACAGAAAACAGATTAAACATGGGCAGTGCAGAGATGTAAAGGAGAAGGAGTAGCAATATAGAGATAACCAGGGAAAAACCCAAAAAAAGAAAAAAAAACCCCAAATTAAAACTGAGTGTGGTGGAAGAGGCAGCCCAGGTGGTGTGCAGGGCATGGGGTGCTCCAGGGAATACCAGCCTGGAGCCATCCCCACAGAGGTGGTTCTCCTGCAGGAGAAGGCATTTTCCAAGCACACTGAAATTTTTCAATTATCCAGGGTTGCAATTTGCAAGCACATTTAAATTTTTCACCTTCACAAGCAGCTAACGAAGAAGAAGCAGGGGAAGGGAGAGTGCAGGAACTAATGAGATGCTCCAGGTGTCTTGGAGACACCTCTGGCCCTTAGATAAGGAGCTTTTATATTCTGCTAACATCACCGTTCATTAGCAGTGCAGAGAAAACTGCTGCAATGACTGATTTTCCATGAAAACCTCTGTTTCCTGAGTTCCCTGGGCTGGTTAAAATTCTTGTCCACGCAGAAGGGTGTTCAACCCCTTCCCTTCAAGGGCTGTGAGCATCCCCACGGTGCTGCTGGTGTCCCTCTGTCCTAGTTTAGGGCAAATTTATGAGAAAGCTTCCAAAGGAGTTCCTCTAGAAAGCAAATTCAAGCATCCCCTCCCCCACCTGGTTCAGGAAAATATTTCCTTGGAGAAAAGTAGGGAAAAAAACCTGTTTATTTAGCAGGCAAAACATTCAGCAGCACAAAAAAATGAACAATATTAAACAGTAGAACCTCTCGCTGTTCTGAAGAGATTGCAAAGTCAGGAAGTCCCCTCTGTGAGCTGTAGCTGGGCTCACTCAGTCCCTTATCAATCTCTTATCAGTCCCTTATCAGTTCCTTTGGTGCTGGCAATGCTGTGGCCCAGGCCTGGCTGGTGGGCCACAGGTGGAGCTGCTGGTGCTCCTCTGGTGTTCTGACCAGGTCCAAACAGTTCCAAGAAAAAGATAAACCACGGTCCAGGGAAATTTTCTGCCCTGGCCAGCTAGAACTAACTCAAAGCACAGGAGAGCTCTGTCCTGCTGTCTATCTGTCTGTCTGCAGACAGCACTGTCCAGGAGAGGATGCGGGGAGCATAATGAAATAAATGGGCAGGAGATCTTTCTCCTTTTTAATGCCTTTATTAAGAAGAATCAGCTCAGGTGGGGAGAAATCGACGGGTCGTGCCCATGCCGCTGCTGCTCCCAGGCGTGGCACGGAGGAGGAGGAGGGTGATACAGTTTTGTCCGCTGGTCTGCAGGCAGAGCTGGGGATTCCGTCCTCACGGGAGAGTAGGAAATTCCCACTTTTTGCTCCAACACCCCGGGTCGTCTCTTTAATTAACATCTTTTAAGCTAGGGTGAGAAGCAAAAAGGATCCAAGCAGGTACTGGACTATGTTCCATCCTTAGACGTCACTTAGGTCACTTAGTTCTATGTTGGCTCGTAATTTTAGGGGTTTTCCTGTAAAAACTATAAAAATTTGGGGCACAATGCATTTCTCATCTGCATACTGGCTCTGATGCCACTCCCATTCTCCTCCTACCTGGAGGGTCTGAACTCTTAACAATGAAACTAACTTAACAGCACTGGTCTTGTTTCGGCAAGCCCTTGTGTGAGGACACGAGGCTTGACTCCATTTTCATCAGAAGGCTGATTTATTATGTTATATATTATATTAAAATACTACATAAAAACTGTACTAAAAGAACAGAGAGAAGAAGATCAGAAGGCTACAAAGGGCAAGAATAGAATAGAATAGAATAGAATAGAATAGAATAGAATAGAATAGAATGCATAACAAAATCCTGTGACTGATCACAGCCTCAACACAGGTGGCTGTGGTTGGTCACTAATTGAAAACAATCCACATGGACCAATGGAAGATGCACCTGTGGCATTCCACAGCAGCACACAGTTATTGTTGACATTTCTTTCCTGAGGCTCTCAGCTCTCAGGAGGGGAAAAATCCTAGCAGAGGATTTTTCATAAGATATCATAGCTACACACTGGTTTGACTTGTTTTTAACTCTGCAACCTAAAAAAAATAGATAACATTTTATTCATAACACATAACAAACCCCAGCTCCTCTGCACCAGCCCGAAAGGCGATCCGTGGGCTGAACAGGGAGCAGCACAGAGCCAGGCCAGCTCAGCCCCTCTCTCTGTGTGTCTCGGCAGACGGCGTGGTGAACCTGAGCGTGCCCATCGTGCTGCCGCTGTCGGCGGAGGACAAGCGGCGGCTGGAGGGCAGCGCGGCGCTGGCGCTGCGCTTCCAGGGCCGCGCCGTGGCCGTGCTGCGGCGCCCCGAGTTCTTCGCGCACAGGAAGGAGGAGCGCTGCGCCCGCGTCTGGGGCACCGCCTGCCCCCGGCACCCGCACATCCAGGTGGGACTCAGCCCTGCCACCGCGGGGGTGGAGAATCACGGAATTAGGGAATAGTGAGGCTGGATGACACCTCTAACATCACCGAGCCCGACCTGCGCGCTAACACCTCAGCTAGGTTACAGCGCCAGGTGCCATGGCCAGTCTCGCTTTAAACGCATCCAGAGATGGTGATTCTGCCACCTCCCTGGGACGAGCATTCCAGTGCTTCGTTATTCTTTCGGTGAAAAAGTTTTTCCTAATATTGTGGTTGTTTCCCTGGGACGAGCATTCCAGTGCTTTGTTATTCTTTCGGTGAAAAAGTTTTTCCTAATATTGTGGTTGTGTTCATGGGTCCCAGGATGAGGGAAGAGATGAATCTGACCCCATATTTCTTAGAAGGCTGATTTATTTGTATATTATATAATATTTATACCTCCCGGGAGGGGGGGGATTATTTTTTTTTTTTTGCCCCCAGCCCACCCGGAGCAGGCAGGACTGATTTTTTTTTTTTTTGGCCACCAGCCCATCCTGAGCAGGCAGGACTGAATTTTTTGGCTTTTCCTTACAGGCAGCCAGCAGGGTTGGTATGTTTTTGCAGCTTCTCTCTTCCCACTTAGTCTGTGGCAGCACAAGGAGCATTGTCCCTCAGAAAGGGAGAGCTCTGGGTTGCACACAGCTTTCTGCTTAAAAGAGCTACAGCTGTGGTAGTTCTTGCTTCTCCCTTAAAATGCCTTTTTTAATTAATCAGCAGCAGGTATGTGCCTTGCAAGAGGCTCATTCCTCCTGTGTATTCCAGGAGGAAAGCAAAGAGGGAGGTAGAGGAAGGTCTTGTGCCTTCCCATGGACTGCTGGGTGGGGACTGGGTGGCTGCTGCCCCACTTGGTGAGGTTTTGCTGCCCATGACATTCAGTTCACGTGGTCACTGCCATGATGTTTTCCACCTGAGAGAAGGGAGGGTCATCCTACAACGGGGTTGAGCCTCACACTTTTCAAAGGAGACTGCGAGGAGTGTGCTGTCCCCTTTGCACTGAAGGTGTGTGTAATTCCCAGATGGTGATGGAGAGTGGAGACTGGCTGGTTGGTGGAGACCTGGAGGTCCTGGAGAAGATCAAGTGGAATGATGGGCTGGACCAGTACCGCCTGACCCCACTGGCTCTCAAGAAGAAATTCAGGGAGATGAACGCTGGTGAGTGCCCTGGGTTACACCAGTGACAGGGCTCCTCCTGCCCCACCAGGCCTTGGTGTGATCCATGACTTGCTCTCAAGCTCACAGCACTTCCAGGTGGCTTCTGGGTGCTCCCAAAATGGGTCTGTTTGGGAGGGTGGGCACTAAAGGGGACTAGGGGCATGGGTCATCTTGGTTAGGGCAGTGCTTGTGATGGGCTGTGTCCCCAGTGGGAAGTGCTGAGCAGCCTGCTCACATCCTCCCTGGTAGGTCAGATCCTCTCTGCACTGACATTCTTGGCCTTCACACAAGAGGCACAGCTCAGGTGTCTTCTCCCAGCTCTCTGTCGTATAGAATCCCAGAATGGTTTGGGTTGGAGGGACCTTAAAGCTCATCTCATTCCACCCCCTGCCGTGGGCAGGGACACCTTCCACATTCCCAGGTTGCTCCAAGCAAAGATGGCAAGGGTCAGACACTCACCCTCACTTTGGGGAAAAAGCATTTGCCCTCCTGCAGGTGCCACTGAGCCTGGGGAGGTGACAGATCACGTAAGACATCAGTGCAGGTGTCCAGAGCTGTGCACAAACACTGTAGGAGAGCTGATAGGGCTGAAATCAACCCCAAAGTGCGGGGAAAATAACCTTGGCAGGGCGATGCGTGTGTGTGTGACACACTCGGGGCCTTGTTCTTGTGGAGACAGGGCACACACAGGTCTGTCATGGCAGAGACAGGACACACACAGGTCTGTGGGCAAAGCTCAGGTATCTTCTCCCAGCTCTCTGTCTTATAGAATCCCAGAATGGTTTGGGTTGGAGGGACCTTAAAGCTCATCTCATTCCACCCCCTGCCGTGGGCAGGGACACCTTCCACATTCCCAGGTTGCTCCAAGCAAAGATGGCAAGGGTCAGACACTCACCCTCACTTTGGGGAAAAAGCATTTGCCCTCCTGCAGGTGCCACTGAGCCTGGGGAGGTGACAGATCACGTAAGACATCAGTGCAGGTGTCCAGAGCTGTGCACAAACACTGTAGGAGAGCTGATAGGGCTGAAATCAACCCCAAAGTGCAGGGAAAATAACCTTGGCAGGGTGATGCGTGTGTGTGTGACACACTCAGGGCCTTGTTCTTGTGGAGACAGGGCACACACAGGTCTGTCATGGCTGACAGGGCATACACAGGTCTGTTGTGGCAGAGACAGGGCACACACCGGTCTGTCGTGGCAGAGACAGGGCACACACGGGTCTGTCATGGCTGAGACAGGACACACACAGGTCTGTCATGGCAGAGACAGGACACACACAGGTCTGTCGTGGCAGACAGGGCACACAGAGGTCTCTCGTGGCTCTGTGGCAGCTCAGGGTGTGGGAATGGCCCCAGTGACCCCCCGACCTTCCCCTTGCAGACGCCGTCTTCGCCTTCCAGCTGCGCAACCCCGTGCACAACGGGCACGCGCTGCTGATGCAGGACACGCGGCGCCAGCTCCTGGAGAGGGGCTACAAGAACCCCGTGCTGCTGCTGCACCCCCTGGGTCTGTCATGTCATGGCAGAGACAGGACACACAGGTCTGTCATGACCGAGACAGGATACACAGGTCTGCCATGGCTGAGACAGGGCACACACGGGTCTGTCGTGGCAGACAGGGCACACACAGGTCTCTCGTGGCTCTGTGGCAGCTCAGGGTGTGGGAATGGCCCCAGTGACCCCCCGACCTTCCCCTTGCAGACGCCGTCTTCGCCTTCCAGCTGCGCAACCCCGTGCACAACGGGCACGCGCTGCTGATGCAGGACACGCGGCGCCAGCTCCTGGAGAGGGGCTACAAGAACCCCGTGCTGCTGCTGCACCCCCTGGGGGGCTGGACCAAGGACGATGATGTCCCTCTGGAGTGGCGCATGAAGCAGCACGCGGCCGTGCTGGAGGAGCAAGTCCTGGATCCCAAGTCCACCATCGTGGCCATCTTCCCCTCTCCCATGCTCTACGCCGGCCCCACGGAGGTAACACAGCCCTTGGCTGTCAGCAGGGCATGGCAGACAGCCTGTCCATGGGGGTTGTGCTCCCAGCCTGCCTGGAAAACCCCAGGAAGGGGGCTGGAGCTGTGTGCTCACTTGGGCTCCCTGCATGGTTTGCCTGTGCTCGCTGCTGCGGCATTCCCACAGAGCTTGGTTCCATCAGCTCCCATCCTCTCCAGGGCTGGGGAGAAGGGATACAAACAGGCTTCACCTTTTCCTGGCAGGCAGGGATGTTCACTTGAAACCCCAGGGGTTTCCCTTGTGTCCCTAAATCAGTGGGATGAAAGGAGCAGATGCTGAACCTCCCTTTCCATGTGCTGGGGGGCCGCCGAAAATTCAAACTGCCGCCAGCTTGGACCCAGCCCCACTCCCTCCCCGTGGGCTCCCTCTCCCTCATCCCTGAGCCCCGTGTCCCTCCCTGCAGGTGCAGTGGCACTGCCGAGCCCGGATGGTGGCGGGGGCCAACTTCTACATCGTGGGGCGCGACCCGGCGGGCATGCCGCACCCCGACACCAAGCAGGACCTGTACGAGCCCACGCACGGCGGGAAGGTGCTGGCCATGGCCCCCGGCCTCACCTCCGTGGAGATCATCCCCTTCCGCGTGGCCGCCTACAGCAAGAGCAAGAGGGCCATGGACTTCTACGACCCCGAAAGGTGAGGCGGCAGCAGCCACGCCGTGGGTTCTTCACTGTGTTGTGTTTTCTGGGATTCCCAAGGAAGGCGAGTGTCACAGATATATTTTATGCAAAATCTTTTTGTTAGGGTTTTTTCTGCTGATTAGCTGGGAAGCTTCAGCTTCTCCGTGTTTTGTTGCTTTAGAATGTGGTTTAGAGAATTATTTACTGAGTATGTAGATTGTTTTTATTTGATGACCAATGACAGCCACCTGTATCGAGGCTGTGAGTAGTCACAAGATTTTATTATTATTTCTTTATATTCCTTTCGAGCTTTCTAATAAATCCTTTCTCTCTATTCTTTTTAGTATAGTTTTAGTATAACATCTTAATATAATATATCATAATATAATAAATCAACCTTGTAAAACATGGAGTCAAGATTCTCATCTCTTCCCTCATCCCGAGACTCTCAAACACAACCACAGGTGAGGAAAGGAAGGGATCTGACTTCATGTTCTTAGAAGGCTAATTTATTACTTTATGATCTATATAATATTAAAGAATGCTACACTAAGCTATACTAAAGGATACAGAAAGGGTACAGACAGAAGGCTAAAAGATGATAATGAAAACTCGTGACTCTTACCAAAGCCCTGACACAGCTCAGCTGTGATTGGCCAATAAGTAAAAACAATTCACATGATGTTGGATGAACAATCTCCAAACCATATTCTAAAGCAGCAAAACAAAACACAGGAGAAGCAAATGAGGTAATATTGTTTTCCTTTTTCTCTGAGGCTTCTCAGCTTCCCAGGAGAGAAATCCTGGGCAAAGGGATTTTTCCAGAAAATGTGACGGTGACAACGTGGGGTTTGTGGGCACCTCGGGCTCGCAGCTTTTTGGGGGACAGGGAAAAGCCATGTTCCTCCCAAGGAGAGGAATGGGGGCAGAATTTGGGAAAGCCAGCCATGTGTTCCTCCAAGAGCTGTTCCCAGGTGTCACAGGAAACTAAAGGTGCCACCAGGGAGGAAAAGCAGGCTGAGAGGCTGAAGGAAGGCAGCTTCCCACAGCTGGGAAGTGTTATGGACACTGCAGCTCCTCTGGGATGAGGAGCCCTGGGGGTGACTCGGGCCAGCTGTGCTGATGTCACCTGTCTCTGTTTCACACAGGCACGATGACTTTGACTTCATCTCAGGAACACGCATGAGGAAGCTTGCTCGGGAAGGGGAAAACCCCCCGGATGGCTTCATGGCCCCCAAAGCCTGGAAAGTCCTCACCGCCTACTACCAGTCACTGGAAAAAAAGAATTAACTCCTCCTCCTCCCTAGAAATACCTGTATTAAGAGTGAGCAATGATCAATTGATTCCCTGTGACACAGATCACTTGGCACGACCCTGGGATTTTCCTACCTGGGTCAGTGTTTTTTACCAATCAGAAATACTTTGAGCCTGATCCTTCTTCCCCTGAAGCTGCTGGGAGTGTCCCCATGGAGCTGGAAGGGACAGGGAGTGGGCCCTTTGTTCCCAGCTGGCACCAGGACGTGCCACCGGGATCACTGTGGTGCTGCCAGGGCCACACAGCAGCTGCCAGTGCAGAGGGGACCAGGATAAATCCTGCCTGTGTCCTGCCTGGAGCAGAAGTGAAGAAGTGCCTTTCCTCATTGTGCCTTAGACAGTTTTTGCTAATTAACAGCACAATCTTTTTAATGCCCCTTTTATAAAAAGGACTTTTTTAAGATCAGCTGTGACCACCTCCAGTTCCTTGTGGTTGAGCCAACTCCTCACTCCTTCCTTCCTTCCCTCCTCCTGCTTGACCTCTTTAAGTCAAACAAATCCCAAGCTGAGCATTACTGTTGCTCTGAGTTCAGCTGCCTGTGCCATGGGGATCCCTGGCACGGGGATCCCTGCACTCACAGCCTGGCAGGAGAAGCACCACAAAGCCCTGAGATCCCTGAGAAAGCTCTGCACAGCAAGGAAAAGTCAGGGATGCTGGCACTGCGCTTCCAGGTGTCCTCCCACGGAGCAGGATGGGATCCCCCTTCCCTCTGCCCACACTCCTCCCACCCCAAAGGCAGATCCGAGGAAAAAACAGCAAAGGCAGCACCAGGCGGGTCTGGAAGAGCAGCTGAGGGGAGGCTGAAGCTCCTGCCCTCATCCACAGCTCTGTGCGTGCAGGTCGCCTGGTTTATTCTGTGTTTGTGGCATGGGGCCGCTGGGGACAGCCAGAGGATGGCAGGGGACACCAGAGGATGGCAGGAAAGCCTTGCTCCCCCAGCCCTGTGGGGTGCTGCTCCCAGCCCTGGCTGTGGAAAGTTACCGCGGCCATTATCGCCTTCCCCACCCTCACGGCCACACGGACTTTGGCAATGCCCCGCCTGAGGCTTTTCCGCTGGCTCGCAGGAGCCTGCGAGGTGACAGAGCAGTGACACGACAGCCACACGACAGCGACACGACAGCCGGGCTTCCCTGGGCCCTGCCCGGAGCCCAGGGCCGGGCCCGGGCCCGGGCCCGCCTCGCCGCCCCAGCCCTGCCATGGCAGCAGAGCTCGGTCCTTACAGCAAGGCCTCACGCTGGGATTCTTGCACCTGGCCTTGCTCAGCAGCTGCCCCAGGAGCCGCGGGGATGTTCCCAAGGAACGGGAGTGAGCTTTCCTCTCTTCCTGTGCTCCAGTTTGAGTTCCACGCTCGGCAAAACCAACCCGCTCCTGCTCGGTGCTGTGAGCTACGGCCTGCCCTGCTGTGGTCAGGGCACAGCGTCCAAGCCTTTGTCTGTGACTGGAAAACTTCCTTGCAAAAGGGCTTTTTGGGTGGTTTTTAAAGTATTTTTTAAAAATATTTGGAGGAAATCTGTGTTTACCCCAAGGCTCCTCTGTGGGAGCTGACAGTGCAGCAGCCCAGCCTCATCCAGCCAGGCCCTCTGGCAGGCAGCCAAAAGGGAGATTCCCATTTAGGGTTTTTAAGGAGTGAAACAGCCCTGTTGCTGCTCATCATCAAATAATCCAGTGTTGAAACCTGCCCCCCCCCAGTTAATCCAGGTGTCACAGCAAAACACAGATGCTGTGTTATCATTTTAAAGCAGTGTAGTGTCCTAATTACCTCTGATTAAAACATGTGGACTGGGGGGGTTATAGTCTATTTATTAAAGACATGAGACTGGAATTTGTACCTCAGCTGATGCATCTCATGATTTAATATATTCTTAACTCAATACTCTATGAAACACTCACTTTTAGTACAAATAAATATTTATATGTGTAAGCAGCTCTCACTTCGTGGTTTTTGGGTGGAACTTCGCTGGAGGCTCGCTCAGCTGTCCCTGGAGATGTGGAAGAGGGATCAGGCTCTCCCCTCCTTCAGAGAGCCAGGATCAGGTGCTGAGGGTTGGACCAAGCCCCTGGAGCAGTGGAATTAAAGCAGCCACGTCCCAAACCACGCTGTTTCCTCAGCCTTTCGAGGAAGCTGCCAGAGGGTTTGTGCTTCGACAAGGACTCCCACAGCAGCAGCGAGAGTGGACAAGTATGGGAGAGCTCCTGGAGAAGGGGGAATTGCACTCCAGCTGCAGAAACTGCCCCCAGGAGCCATCAGAAATTACTCCTTGTGCCTCTTCAGCCAGCCCCGATGAGTTTTGGGCAGCAGTGCCCAAAGCCGGGCTTTTGGAGACACCAGCAAGAGATCAGGGCTCAGGCAGTGCCCAGGGGCTGTCCCCGGCCTTGTCCGGCTGCCCTGCTCCCTCGGGGTGACATTAACACCTCCGAGGACACACTTAACACTCAATTAAAGCCAATTAAGACCTGCCTCCGCTGGGGTTTTACCAAGCAGGAAACAGCCTGAAAATAAAGTACAAACCAGCCCTCTAGCACTTGGTGCACCGTCAAGCTGAAGAGCCAGCAACCTGTACTGCTGCCCTTTTACCCAGCTATTTCCTGGAGAAAATGAAACATGGGTGATGTGGGGCAGCCACGGGAGGAAATGAGAAGGGAGGCACCCAGCCAAAAAGGCAGGAGGAGCTTCCCAGGCCGGCATTTCCCAGGTGTAACAACCCTGAGCAGGGTGGGAGCAAGGCTGAGAACTTCCCGGGCACAGGGGCCATGCCAGCCTCCCCAGGGATTCCAGAAAGAGCACTAATGGCAGGGCTAAGGTTACTCATGGAATCATGAAATTATTTGTTGGAAGGGCCTCAAAGCCCATCCAGTGCCACCCCTGCCATGGCAGGGACACCTTCCACTGTCCCAGGCTGCTCCCAGCCCTGTCCAGCCTGGCCTTGGGCACTGCCAGGGATCCAGGGGCAGCCACAGCTGCTCTGGGCACCCTGTGCCAGGGCCTGCCCACCCTCACAGGGAACAATTCCTAATTCCCAATATCCCATCCAGCCCTGCCTTCTGGCAGTGGGAAGCCATTCCCCCTTGTCACTCCATCCTTTGTACAGAGTCTCGTCTCCTTCAGGCCACAATTTGGTCACCCCAAAGCTTCTCCTCCCCATGCTGAACACCCCCAGCTCTCCCAGCAGAGCTGCTCCATCTCTCTGCTCATCCTGGTGCCCCCCCTGGGCTCATTCCTGGATCCCAGGCTCACCCAGCCCCAGCACTAAAGTGCCCTGTGGGATTGACATCTCAGATCCTGGACTTTCCCCATTTCCATATCCCAGCAGTTCTGCTCTGCCTAAATTCCTGCACCCCTGTGTTATTCCATTGTGCGTCTCGCATTGCTTTGAACACAGAGAAGAAGTCCAAGCAATTATTCAATTACTTTCATCCTCCCCCTCCCATTTGGTTTTAAGATTAAATTGGGACAAACTCAGCCCTGCAGCATCACCCAGCCAGCATTCCAGAGGGCAGGACAGCAGGGAGCAGGCTGAGCTTGAGGGACACTGTCACCAGCCCCTGACACCGTGTCATGGCAGGGCTCCAGCCCTCCTTATTTCACTTTATTTTCCTTTGCAGTGCATTTGGTTTTACATCATTCTGTGCCTCCACTGTCTCCGTCCCATTTCCATATCCCAGCAGTTCTGCTCTGCCTAAATTCCTGCACCCCTGTGTTATTCCATTGTGCATCTCCCATTGCTTTGAACACAGAGAAGTCCAAGCAATTATTCAATTACTTTCATCCTCCCCCTCCCATTTGGTTTTAAGATTAAATTGGGACAAACTCAGCCCTGCAGCATCACCCAGCCAGCATTCCAGAGGGCAGGACAGCAGGGAGCAGGCTGAGCTTGAGGGACACTGTCACCAGCCCCTGACACCGTGTCATGGCAGGGCTCCAGCCCTCCTTATTTCACTTTATTTTCCTTTGCAGTGCATTTGGTTTTACATCATTCTGTGCCTCCACTGTCTCCGTCCCCTCACAGGCAGCAGAGCTGTGACACAGTGTCTCACCCCTGGGCTTTGAACATTTAATTCCCTTTACAGATTTGGGGTCAATTAGTGCACAGTTCACAGCATTATATGAAAAACCTCAAGTCCTTGACTATCTCTGACAATAACTTCACTAAAAAAGAAAAAAAAATTTTTGCCACTCACATTTGTAACCCTTGGCCTTTATCAACAGAACGTTACAAGAATTCACCAGAACTGGTACCAGCAAGGACAGCACGTTGCTAAACCACATCAATAAGCCCAAAACCCATTTCCTCCTCTTTAAATTCACAGATCTGAGCATGGGACAGAGTCAAACATCACACAGTGTCCCCCTGTGCCTCAGGGCTGTGACACTTCAGGGGATGGTGCCACAGTGGGGCTCGCAGAGGCCGAGGGAGAAGCAAGTCCTTGGGACAGTGCACAGGAGCTCAGAGGACGTGGGGCTTTAGGAAAGAGCACGTGGGATTCTACTCTAACTGCTCGCAGCAAGGGAAAACCAAAAATAAAATCAGCCTTCATTTAAAAAGCCTTCAAAAGCAGAATTCATAAAAAAATTAAAAGTATTCAAACATTCTTACAGAGTAGTTTACTATCCTGACTAAATGGCACCAGATTTCAAGTGGTCATGTGGAAGAAAAATCAGTAGCATTTCAAATGTTGCTTTGTTCTAGGAGCAGTTTCTATCCTGGCATTTGCTGCTAAAAGGTAGAAGTGAACTGAGTATTGAGGAATCTTTCCCCTACACAGCTTCTCATTTGGTTTGCTTCAGGAAGTAGAAAAGATTTTCCATACTCAAGTTATCTACAGATTATGTCTATATATAAAAAAAAGTGTGGCTATGTACAGGTCCTGCACTCACACACCCATCTGTACACACACAGCCCGTGCCAGGTCCTGCCCCTGGCCCTGGGACCACCCACTCCTGCTGGAAGGCTCCAGGGGATCCCTGGGACAACACGCAGGCACTCGCTCTTGGTCTGGGCTGAATTGTTCCACTCATGATCTGTGCTTCCACTTCCACTTGGAATTGCAATAACTTAAGAGGTTGTTGTTGTATAAAAACGATTCCAGGAACACAACTCCCTTTGCCACCCCTGCTCCCACCCCCTGACACTGGTTTTGCTAACTGATTACAGAAGTCAAACTAAATCACATCAGGAACTGCAAACACACTCTTTTCTCTTAGTCAAACACGATCTCCATGGCCAGGTTCTGCATGGAGACATCCTTGGATTTCCTCATCTTCTCGATGGCCCTGTGGAGGTCCTGCTGCTGCACGGGCCGGATCTCATCTTCATCGTGGCTGGGGAGGAGAAACAACAGCCAGGTGAGGGCCAGGGGCTGTGCCAGCTGTGCCAGCACTCAGCAGCCATCCCCGCAAACAGCAGCTCTGACACGGATCCAGCGTCACGCTGGCATCACAGAATCCCTGAGGCTGGAAAATGCCTGCCAGCCCACGGAGTCCCCCCTGTGCCCACGCTCCAGCCCCTCCATGCACCCAGGATTGCTGCAGGCAGGGCAGATAGCAGAGGCATGTCCCAGCACCGTGTCAGCAGCACTGTAACCAGGCAAATACCAGAGGGATGTCCCAGCTGTGTCAGCAGCACTAACCAGTGCAGCAGCAGCACCTGGTGGCTCAGGCCACCTCCAGCTTGGGCACCTTGGAACAACCAAGGCGCCGAGCTCATTTTGAGAGCCAAAAGCAATAACAGCAACTGAGCTCTGGGGGTGTGTGTGGCAGCTGGGCATGAAAGCAGGACACTGCTGTGTGTGTGAGGCTGCAGGCAAGCCCAGCTGCAGCAGGGACACAAGGACAGCAGTGAGAGGAGCAGCCCCACGTACACGTCCTCCTCGCAGGCGTTGTTGACGTACTCCCGCACGCAGAGCAGCGCCGCGTCCCGGCACATCTCCTTCAGGTCGCTGCCCGAGAAGCCGTCCGTCTCCTTGGCCACCTGCAGCAGGTCCACGTGGCTGTCCACCTGTGGGGAGCTCCAGCTCAGGCCTGGGACACCCCAAAGCCACTGGCTCTGCTCTACAACAGTTATCTCCGAGATCGCCTTCGTTCGGCATTTTTGGGGAGCTAAATGATTCCCTCACTCCTGGGACCTCCAAGGGGCTCACACCGTTACAGGAAACTGGTGTGTCAGCTCATCACGCTCTGCCACGGGCTCCAAACCCCACCAGAACCCCACAACCAACCCATACTAACCTTGCAATGTCCTTGTTGATACATCCTTGGTACCCCTGAACCAAGGGTGTATCCATACTGGTGTATCCTGTACTAACCACGCTCCTGCCTGGCAAAAACTGGATCCCAGCAATAATGACCCCTTTTCCCAGGTGCCCACAGGAGTTTCTCAGAACTCTGTTGTCTGCACACAACACATTCCTGCTTTACACAGTCCCAAATTTGAGGATTTAGAGGCAAAATTTTGTGTCTAACTCAGTGCACTGGGTCAAGCTGAACTCTTGCCAGGCAAAAACCTCAGGTTTATTCCATCTTTTTATGGAATTTCTGATTCCTTTCCCACCATGTGCATCAGTTTTTCCTTTTCAGAAACTTTAAGCCAAGGCAGTCTAATAAAAGGCTGAAATTCTGGGATGACTTCTTTCAAGAGGGAAACTTCCCTAAAATTATGCTTTAAGTCAGGGAAGGAACAGGGAGGGCAGGACTCCCCTTGCCATGTGAACTCTGGGCTTGAGAAATCCAATTCTTCCTCCTGTGGGATAACTGATACAGGCTGGCTTTTTATCTCCCTGAAAAACTAATTTGTGTGGTTCCTTGCTGGTGAGCTGCCATTTTTAGGCCTCTTCAAAAAATTTAAGTTGGTTTTACTAATAAAAGATATTTATTAGGGTGGAGCTCAGCCTACAGACACTTTGCAACATGAACTTGAAGGCAATTAGTGCTGCTGACTAACTTTGGGAGGAAGCTCTGAGGACAGGGACTCCCTATCCTGCCACAGACACTTCACACCTCATCCTTCCCCTCTCCTCTGAAGGAAATTTAAATTATGGATCAAAAGCAGCACTGTCCAAAAAAGCCATTCCTCCTTGCTTGACTTGAGCTAAAAAAGAGTTAAAGAGTCAACATCTTTTTGATTTCCTTGAAATTTCCTTCCCTGCTCTAAACATGATTCACCTTCACCTTTCTTAGAGAGAGAAATCTCTTCTCTTGTAAGAGAACAAGCAAATGGAGACAGAGAAATGGAGTCATTCTGCTCACAGGGGGTGATTCACCACACAGGAGCCAACTGCAGGGCTTTAATGTAAGGCCACACCTAAACCCACAAAAGATTCCCAAGTTCTCACCAGAAATGCCCTGGCAGATCATCTCAGCCTCAGTGCAAGACAGGCAATTACAAACCCCACCTTCTGCAAGGCCAGAGCTGCACTGGTGGCAGTAATGCAGCCATGAGCCACTAACAGGAGGCTACTCACATTTTCATTCTTCAAAATCAGCTTCAAGATTGCCTCTCTTTGCTTCAGAGCCTGGAACAGAGGAGACTGAAGTTACCAGAGGACAAAAATGAACACTTGTGACATCCCAGGGCTTTCAGTCCCTTCAGCTCCCTCGCCCAGGACGTGTGACACACACTGAGGAAACCTCTCTGATGGCAAATTCACTTCCACGGGTGATGCTTGGGAAATTCTAAACCAGAGAAATCCCACCCTGTGTGATTCAAACTCCACCAAAACCCCACAGAAACCCCAGCCATCCCATTGGTATATCCTGTACAGTTGCTACTCTGTCCCAAAACCCACTTCTGCCATTTCCCTCTGCTTTGCAGGCAATTTTTGATGAGCAATTTGGGGTCTTTTCTCTCAAAGACAGTTATAAAACCTGCAAGGCTTTCCCTGCTGCCCGTGCCTGTTCCCAATCCACAGCACATCAATTATTCCACCTTCAGTAAGAGTCAGGGCCAGTCTGGGCTGATCACAAAGCAAGAGAGGAGCAGTAAGCTCATGGCAGGGCTCTTGTGGGGTAAGGAAAATCTGTTCCCTAAGTGACACCTCCAGTGGTAAACCCTGATCCTGGGAGAGGGAGCCAATCCCTGTAATATCCCATTATCACATAATTCATCCTTCTAAAGATGGGGCTCCACAGAATGGCACCACAAAGTACTCAAATCCACATCCTTGCCCCCTGCTAGCTCAAGGAAGAGCTGGAGGTGAGGAAGGTGTGTGGAGCAGGTATGGAAGCACTGCAGTTCCCAGGTTTTAATTGCTGTTCCCAAAGGGATCCCCTCCCATGGAGTGAAAGTCAGTTCCAACAACACAGGCGTGGGAACACAGCTCCTCTCTTGCACAATCAATAAGAATTGTACTCCTCCAGTTTGGTCTCTGGGTTTCAGCAGAAATGGATAATGATTTCTGTAGCCAGAAGGGAATTCAACCACAACTGAACTCGTGATAACACAAAAATGACACTCCTGACACAAAAATGTCTGGTCACATCACTAGGCATTGAAAGGTGACTGAAATACCTGGAAAAGGATGGCAAGAGCAACCTTTGGAGTAAGGACAACCTTGTGACAGCTGCCTAATTGATACAGAACTTAATAACTGGGGCATAAATCACAGAATCATGGAATGGTTTGAGTCCTTAAAGCCCACCACAGGCAGAACAAACCAGGCTTTCCACCCTGTCTGCTGTGGAAGGCCTGAGCAGAACAGAGTTACAATCCAGTCCTTCCCAGTGTGCAGCATCCCAACAGCTCCATTCCCAGAGGAGAGCAGGGGTGGGAAGCCCATGGTGCTGTTCGTTTCAGATAAAAGACTCAAGAGATCAAAACTTCACCTCAAAAAGCCGAGTTATGGATGTGATTCAAAAACCCCCAGAGCCAGCTGAGCAGAGGGCAGCATTCCTGGAGGAAAAGCCCCAGAGCTGTGGCTGTGCTGGCTGCTGGGGCAGGGCAGGCAGGACTCACAGGTTGGTTGATGTGGAAGCGCGTGGGCATCCTCCTCATGATGGCAGAGTCCAGGTCCTGGGGCCTGTTGGTGGCTCCCATCACAATCACCTGTGGGACACCAAGAGACAGCACTGAAACCAGAGCTGGGGAACATCCACGGGCTGGGAACGTCAACACCAGCCAGGGATCTCCCCCACGTTATCAACAGCATCAGCATTTACAGAAGTTACATAAAGCTTTCCTGGCAGTGATCTCAGCAAGGCCCTGGTCCCACAAATACCACCTGGGGGGAGATTTCAATGAGTCCAACTTGAAATTTCAAACCCCAGTGAGGAACTTAAAACTTCTGCTTGTGATGTCACTTTTAGTTCCTGGTGGAATTCAAAAGGAGATATTTCGGGAAGGTGCTTAAAAATGTGGTGGTTTTGTGCTGTGCTGGAAAAAGAATCACAGAAGGTTTTGGGTTGGAGAAGACCTTAAAGGCCATCTTGTTGTAAACCCTCCATGAGCAGGGACACCTTCCAGGAGACCACCGTGGCAGTGGGCTCCCCTGGTACCCACAAGGTGTCTTTATTCTTTTAAACATTCCAAAAAGCATTGCAGGACCTGCAGGTCAGCAGTGGGTTAAAGGTGTCCAAGGCAAGCCCAACACCAGGACGGTGTTTACCTCCCTGGAGCACTCCAGCTCTTAACTCCAGAACAAATTTACTCCCCATTCACAGCAGCCTTGTTCTCCCATTTCTTACTCTAAGCTGTGTACATGGCAAACACCCAGCCAGGAGAGTGACAAACGGCAGGGTGATTAATCTGGCCTCCAGGGGGTTTCCTGCCCTGCTCCTGCCTTTGGGCCAGGCCCAGCAGCTCCGGGAAGGAGGGCCAGCAGGGCTGGTGGCCCGGCAGAGTCACCCTGCCACCTAGAGGCACTGGGATTGCTGGCTCGGGGATGATCCACGCTTCTCTGGGCAGTATTTTCAGCCAGAAGGAACATTCTTCACCTGCCACACTCCAGACCCATCCTCAGCAGGTTTAGCTCCCAGCTGAGCGTGGTCTCCAGGTGGAATCAACACATGCACCTCAATTTCCTCCAAGCATTTGGGATTCTGGTTTTTCTTAAAAAAGGCAAACGCTGCTGAGCTTGAGAGACCCCAAATTGTCTCACTGCAGGGAATAAATAATTTCACTTGCTCCAAGGAATTGTCAGTGTTTTGGGTAAAAAAGGTAATACACTGTGCTTAGAAGATTATATCAGTTTCCAGTGAAGGGTTCATACCACTGGCTTTTTACTAAGGGGAAGCTTTAACCCTCCTCAGTACACATACATCACTGGTTTTTACTCATTTGGGGAAAAAATCAGCTGAAAAACATCTTTAGCACATGTTTGGGAGAGGAGGAAAAGCCATTTATGGAAAAATACACATTAAAAAGGCTGAAAATTTTCAACTTGGAGAATAAACATCCTGTTTAAGGGCTTTAAGAAGATTATCCCAGGTGACACCATGGCACGCTGGCTTTCTGCTGTATTCAAGTTTTCAGAATCCCAGAATGGTTTGGGATGGGAGGCACTGAGAACAAACATCCTGTTTAAGGGCTGTAAGATTATCCCAGGTGACACCATGGCACACTGGCTTTCTGCTGTATTCAAGTTTTCAGAATCCCAGAATGGTTTGGGATGGGAGGCACCTTAAAGCCCATCCCATCTCATCTGGAAACTCCACTCCTTGATTAAAACCAACCTAGGCACAAAGCCAATCTTCTCAGGAAGAACAATGACCTGTGGGTGCAACTTCCCTCATTCCTACAAAGCGCTGGGAATCACCGACAGATAAAGAACCCTTTGGCAGTCCCTGTTCCCAGGCAGCTCCACCCCCAATGTCCCAGCTGAGGGAATGCCATCCCTCCTGCCAGCACCCCGAGGACTCACCTGGCAGTTGTAGTCAGTGTCCAGCCCATCCCACAGGCTCATGAACTGGGCTTTCATCATGGCTGTGGCCTCGTGGTCGGTGCTGGATCGGTTCCGCAGGAAGGAATCTGTGCCAAAGCAGGGAAGCAGTCACTGCCAATCCAATTCCCCACAGGAATGCCCACCTGGGCTGCTCTCTGAGCTCATAAATGCATTTTGCATCACCACTGCCAGCAAACAAGTGCTGCCAAGGGTGAAAGTGGGCTCTCCCCTATGGCTAAGCCCCCGTTCAAAGGGCACCACACAAGTGTGCACCCACCACAGGAGATTGCCCCACATCCTGTGCTCCAAATTTGCACCTTCCTGAACTCATGGAAAGAGCCTGGTGGTTTCTCTGGGTCTGGATTGAAGGCACTCCAGACATTGGTTCATGTTCAGACTCCATGAAGAAGAAACCCAGGACAGCACCCTGTGCCCTCCATCTTGCTTCCATCCACAACACACTAAAAATCCCAAATTTTTCACCAAGTGATCCACCCACACTACTCTCTAGAATCTATTTCACACTTTTGTGGGTTCTAGCCTACCTTGAAGTCCAGGAAACTTTCTCCATGAGTGAGGGTCAGAGTCAGTGCCCCCCTGAGGGTCAGGGCACCCCAGAGCACACAGAGAAATATTCCCAGTGCCCTGGGTTTCCACACCTCCCCTCCTATTCTTCAGCCCTATGAAACCAGCATTCCAGAGCTCTCCTGAAACCATATTTACTTCCCAGTATGTGCCCTGAGAGCAGAAGCACTGAAGTGTATTTGTTGCTGGGTTTCCTCGTGAACCAAAACCAAGTAGGAATCTGTTTCACTTGTGAATTCCTCCACTACTACCAGGAAAAAAACCCCCAAACATTGTTTTTCCTAATGTGCCACCATCCCTTTACAGTTCTATTTCTCTTCCTGAGCCTTACTTTTGAATTCCTCCACTACCACCAGAAAAAAAACAAAAAACATTGGTTTTCCTAATGTGCCACCATCCCTTTACAGTTCTATTTCTCTTCCTGAGCCTTCACTCTTTTGAAGGAAAAGATGACAGCAGATCCATACATCACTGAGCCTACGGTTCAATGTCACTCTGCCATGGCTACTGATAAAAAAATAGATTTTTACCTATTTCATCAATAAAAATGATGGATGGCTGGAGCTTTATGGCCAGGGAGAAGACAGCAGCAGCCAGCTTTTGGGATTCTCCATACCATTTATCTGTCAGCGTGGAGGGCTGGAGGTTGATGAACCTACAGCCAGCTTCCTTGGCAGTAGCTTTGGCAATCAGGGTTTTCCCACATCCAGGGGGGCCATAGAGAAGAACTCCTGGAAAGAAAAAAAATAACATTAACAGTGTTAATGCTTTGCTAGGACAGGCCTGGGGGTGTCCAGGCTCGAGTTTGATCCAGGTATGAAAAGGTAAGGAACCAAACCAAGGAAAGACCATTCCATCAATCAGAGGTTTTAAGGTTTAAGCTGTTAAATTACTGCTCAGAAGAGCCAGAGAGGAAAGGGGAAGCTGAGAGGAGACATCTGAGAGATGATGACTGCTTTATCTTTAAGGTCCCTTCCAAGCCAAACCACTCCATGATTTTATTCCATTGCCAGGTCTATAAAGGTTACACAAAATTAACCCCTCTTTATGCCCTGGCAGCTTCTGTTTACAGCTCCTTTCAGCCCTGCAGAGCACAGAGGAGTGAGGAAAGGAAAAATCCATCACACAACAGACCCACAGACAGTTTAAACAAATTACCCACAATTAAACATGACATCTTGTATTATTTTTAAACTTGTCACAGTGCAAGAATTCACAGGAGTGTTTTTCTAAACAGTTATAAAGAAAACAATTTCAAGAGCAACATTCAGTTAAAAGAACCCAAAACACAGGGAATTATTAAAGTTTTTTCTCATTTTATGTGAGTGATGCCCACAAACATCATCACTCTGGAGCAGTGACTTCCTATTAACACCCAGCACAAGCCACTCATAAAACTGGAGCTGGAAAGTCTGCTTTAAAAAGATAAATAAAAAAAATCATTTTTTCCTTCAGCTTATTAGATCATGGCATTCATGTAATTTTCCAGACAGCTTCAGTTTGTGACTTACACAGAAAGCAGCCTGGAAAAACTAAACCAGCTACCAAAGTGCTGCATTTTCCATCTCCTGTGAGCACCCTTGAGGTGCTCACAGATCCAGGCAGTAATTAAGAGCTCCTGAAATCAAAATTCCAGGGAACAAAGCTGTAAACTTGGCTGTTTTGTCCATGATTTTAGGTTAAAATTCTGCTTTTTGTTTTTCTATTTTTCTTCAGTAATGTACAATAAGTAAGGCTGTAGGGATTTCAGCAGAGTCCAGCTTCTGTTTTACTGTGGAAAATCAATCTGCCACCTGCCTTAGTGCTGTGTAACCCAACTCCAGAGAGAATCAAGGGATCTCCAGAGGAAAAAAAGAAAGGGATGTCTGGCCTGCTGAATGATGGCAATTTCCAGGAGTGTCACAGCTGTAGAGCAGAGTTAGAGCTCAGCTCTGCCAAAGGACAACACGGGGTGTCAAGACAATGAAAATGACAATTTAGGCAATTAAAAATGCAGGATGAATGGATTATCATGGCCTGAAGTGACAGGACCAGGGGAATGGCTTCATGCTGACAGACAGGAGGTTTGGATGGGATATTGGGAAGGAATTGTTGCCTGGCAGGGTGGGCAGGCCCTGGCACAGGGTGCCCAGAGCAGCTGTGGCTGCCCCTGGATCCCTGGCAGTGCCCAAGGCCAGGTTGGATGGGGCTTGGAGCAGCCTGGGACAGTGGAAGGTGTCCCTGCCATGGCACTGGATGGGCTTTAAGGTCCCTCCCAAGTCAAATCATTTCATGATTCTGTGATTGGTGCACAAAAATGGACCATCAGAACCAAAACCCAGCTACTGGTTCATTATTAAGATGAAACTTCTTCAGCAAAGCAGGGGAAGAGGGAAAATCTGAGGGTTTTCCCTGGCACTGGTCCTGATGTTTGCACTTTGACCTAAGAACCCACTTCCTCTTCCCTTTCTGGAAAACTGCACCTTTCATATTTCAAATAGCAAAGTATAAATCCATCACATTCCCTTCCTACCTTTTGGGGGCTGCAAGAGCCTGGAATTCTCAAACAAATATTTCTTCTTGATGGGCAAAATGACAGTGTCTTTCAAATCTGTGATGACATCATCTAAGCCTGCAATATCACTCCAGGTGACCTGCAAGGGAAAAAAAACAGCCTTGGGAATGATCAGCATTGATCCTGCCAATGAAAATCACCCACCAGCTTCAAAGGAGTGCCTTGAAAATAAAAGAGAGAAGGGATTAAAACCCTCTGCTCTCAGTGATGCAGTTTTAGATCACAGGAATACCTCCTGTGTATTTCCAGAGGGGTGCAAATAATGTAAGCCAGGGTCAAAGGGGAATTCTGCAGGAGTTGCTCACATGCATGCTGAGTGGGTCCACCAGGTGGGCAGCAATGCTCATCTCATACTCAGTCAGCTTGACATTCTTCACTCCTATCTGCTTCATCAGCTTTTCAGCCTGGGGGGAACCAAACACCAGGAAAATCAAAGGAAAGAAACTGAATACTTCACTGAAAAATCAGCTTTTTTAGAGAACTGCTGGTTGTGGTTTGAAAAGCTCCTTCCTAAGAGGTGAAATCTTGTTTTAAGCAGAAGGTTCTGCTGTTTCCTAATGACTCTGCTGTCACTTGAGTGAAACCAAGTCAGATGTCTCAGTTCCCATCAAACAAATGCTTGGACCCTCACATGCCCAACCCACAACTCCTCTGTTAAGAGCTAAGAAACAACCAAAACAAACCTTAAACACAGAGTGTGCCCCCCAAGCCTCCAGAGCACTTGGAGAGATTCATGTATTTTCAAATGAATCAAAGAGAGATTAATGTAATTTTAAATTCCCAGTCAATTTCTAATAAGTGGTCAGTGGGGTTTCCCTAATTCACAAGGAAAACTCATTGAGCCAACACACTTGAACAACTCAGTTTCTCTTTCTACTCAAACTTGCAGTAAAGCCACCAAGGTTTTGGGACAGTGCAGCCTCCTGGATAACAGCTGGCACTGAACCTGTGGGCAAAGCTGGTTTTCAACTGAAAAGCTCATTACAGAAGGAAAACCACCCAACACAGACTTAGGTTGCTCAAAACCTCTGAAATTCTTGTCAGTCAGAAACCAAAGCAAAAAAGCTGCCACATTTCCTAAGCAAACCTTTAACTTTTGGTTCTGAAGGGCCCCTAAAGTTTTTCCAGGGCACAAATTGTTCCAGTTCAAGATAAGGAACGAGGTTTTCATTTTTTCCCTCCCCTTTCCAAGGCATTTTGACTGCTGGTGAAGGTCTCTGCCACTAAGCTGCCAGAAATGCAGAGCTTTCAGGCTCTCTTTTAAGTTAAGAATTAAGCTGTCTCTGCTCAAGGTTTCAAAAGCAGACAAGAGATTTAGGGTCAGCAAAGTTGTCAGAAGCAGAGAAGGCACCAGGCCTACAGACTTGGTGAAAGTCAGAGCCAACAGCTCTGATTTTCAGCAACATTTTTGCTTTGATTTTCAACAACAGATCAGACCAACAGCTTTGCCACCACTTCAAGCTAGAAATCTTAGTTAGTTATAAAACTGTCATTTGTTCTATACTATAATTTGTTACAAAACCTCAACAGACCAGCAGCCTAAACCTAAAAACTTCAGCACATTCCTCAACTTTCCCCAAGGAAACAGTGCAGAATGCAATCCTACCTGCTTCTGAGCTTCCACCTTCTGCTTCCTGGTGGGGTCGATGGCATCCACCATCCACTTGATGGTGAAGTAGGTGACGGCCCCGAAGATGGTGAGGCGGAAGATCAGCCCCACCACCTCGTTACGGCTCAGGGGCCGCGAAAAGGCCTCGGCGTGCACCATCCTCAGCACAGGGAGGGCAGGAAAGGGGATCAGAGCAGGGAAAAACTCCTGGGCACCATCCTCCTCCCTGCCCTGAGGGGAAAGGAAGCACAGGGAGGGCAGAAAAGGGGATCAGACCCTGCCCTGAGGGGAAAGGGAGCACAGGAAAGGGGATCAGAGCAGGGAAAAACACAGGCGTGGTGCTGGTGGATAGAAGATGCTTGGGGGGGAGTTGGGGTGAGTGAATGGAGGGGTGGGATATGGGGGATGGTTTCCCACTGGCAGAGGGGAATTTTGGGAAGGAATTGCTCCCTGGCAGGGTGGGCAGGTCCTGGCACAGGGTGCCCAGAGCAGCTGTGGCTGCCCCTGGATCCCTGGCAGTGCCCAAGGCCAGGCTGGTGCAAGCTGGCACAGGGGAAGGTGTCCCTGCCATGGCTGCACTGGATGGGCTTGCAGGTCCCTTCCACCCTGGGATTCTGTGCTGACAGCGGGCACAAATGTGGCATTCCCACTGAGACTGGCACTTTGGGACTGTGCTGGCCCTGAGTGCTGAATCCTGGAGGCAGGGAGCTCCATGACTTAGGCTGAGAGGTCTTTTCCCTGACAGGAAAGGCACCCGGCTGCCACACGAAGGAGCAATCAGCGACTCCCATTTGATTAAAAGGAGGTTAGGAGCTGCAGCCTGCACCTGGCAGGATGTATGGGGAGTTATTAATATCCCTGGAAACCTGAAAGTGCTGGATGTGGCACACAGCTATCCAGGGAAAAGCCTGGCTGCTGCAGGAGCCAGGCCCAGAGAGCACAGCACCCTCAGTCCTGGGAACACAGGGCACAGAGGAAAGAACTCTGCAGAAACACTGGGAAAACGATTCCTAAAATCAGGGTCCCCTTCTTCCTCAGCTGCTGGGGGGATCTGCTTGAGCCTCCCCACATCCCTCCTTGGGCACTGCCCCATTTTCCTCCTGCAAGGGCAAAACCAGCAGCAACTCCTTTGGCAGCTCCTGCCCTCCCTGGCCACGCTCCAAACCAAGCTGGCAGCCGGGGCAACCCTGCAGCGCCCAGAGCCAAACTATCCCTGGATCCCCCTCCAGGGCAGCCCCCAGAGCCAAACTATCCCTGGATCCCCCTCCCGGGCAGCCCCCACAGCCAAACTATCCCTGGATCCCCCTCCCAGGGCACTGCTGGGCACCCACAGCCAAATTATCCCCGGATCCCTGCTAAAGGCTCTGAGCAAGTGCTCCGGAGCTGGAGGATTCTGCGTGTGCCCGTCAGCCGGGTTTATTAAAACAAAAGGGCTCTGCAGTCGCTGCCCAAGGAGAAAAGCTCCCCAAAACCCCGTGCAGGAAGCTCCTCCTTATGCAACCGTGCTCTGAGCCCAACCGAAAGGGAAAGCTCGACCACGAGAGAAACCGAAGCACAGCCTCGCTGAGCAAAGCCCGAACGCCACACAAGGGCTGAATCCCGTAGGAAGCCGGCGTTTGTTCGCCCTGAGGCGAGGACTCCTCACTGCGGGCCCGCTCGGCTCCGCTCTCCCCGCTCAGGCGCCAAAGGGAAACCAAAAGCGGCAGCGGCGCCGGTTTCCGTTCCCTCCGAGGGCAAGCTGAGGGAAAGCCCGGCCTGCCCGGGCGCGGGGAGCCCCGCCGGGGGCGGGCAGCCCCGCCACGGCTGCCCCGGGCAGGGCCGGGCC